TAATCTTTTTTCAGAAAGTACAATTAACGGGGTCACTTACGATATGAGAGCGTTCTTCGACCTTCGATGATTTTACTGGTTATCATGTTTTGTCCAAAACACGGTACATTCAACTATTACGGCTTGATACTGGTCAATTTAAATTTTCCTACACATTGAGAACAATGACTGGAAATATAACTCGGGTTATCATTAAATATTTTAATTTTTTTCAAATATCATGTTTTTGTAAATTATCACCATCATTTGTATGCGTGCAAAGCCAAACAGATCAGAGCCTACAACATGCATTTCGTTGTAGACAATATCCAATAAGATATCAAGACGTCTATCTTATGTCCAGGATTAATACGAATGGAAAACTTATTAGTCCTAAGAGTCATATCCTTTTGGTGATAAGGTTGATGATTCTGCGCACTGAAAAGTCAGACACACCCCAATTTTCTTCCGTCAGCTTTCCTTATATTTGTTTTAAACCTGATACCCCTAACCCCCCCCCCCCCCCCCCCGGCCCTTAACCCCACTTCTCTTCCCTGTGCTAGGACTTGGCATTCGATATCTTCCCAGATTTCATCTCGGCATCTCAGCAGAGCGGAAAACAATTTAAAATGTACAGAGTGTAGACTAGGAGATCACCGTGAACGCTTTGATGTATCACAAATGAAATGATAACCCATGCTCCTCAAGCATTGTTGTTACGAGGGCCATTGCGCATAATGTCTCAATTTTTACAGACCGGATAACTCCTGGCGCTGATTAAGATACATTTTAATTATAATTCAAGGTGCGATAAGTCCGCGGTATACAGCTTTAAGATAAACATTGAGCGAGTCTTGGCAAGGGCCATCTTTACATAAGATGCCCTGATAGATACATAAAACAGCGAAGGGGTGGTAGTGCTGAAAACCACGGTAAAGATACATATCGTCCGGCAAATTGGTGAGACATCGTATCTTTTTCGCCGTCATTGAAAATAACCTGGTAATTTGTACCTACTGATATGCATCGGACTTCAACATATCGCGGCGTTTGCCTCTTCGCTGTCCATTTAATTAGAGATACATATCCAGGTATATGGACTACCAGTCCGTTGGATGATTATCACACTAAAAGAGCAGCCTGAGTTGAAGGAGTTCAGCGGCATTTTCTCCATCACCACTACGTTTTTTTCCAAGGGCTGTTTAAGACCAAAATTACCTTTTGAAATACCGAAGTAAGGACTGCTGTGTTACTGGTATACCTTGGCCGTCTTGGTCTGTGAACGTCAGTCTAACTTTGTATGCAGGTAGCCTAAGGCTTAGACATGAAGATCTGTAAGAACTACACAGCTATCTTACTAGCAATTGTGCTGTTAGAGGCTTTGTACGTGAGCCTCAGAATGTATAGTGAATTACTGAAGTGTAGACAGGAGGTTGAGGCATGTGCCGCTAAACCTCCGACTACGAAGATTGTATATACCGAAGCGGATTGTCCAGAGGTCGAGGCTGCTTCCGACGACGAAACCTCGAATGGTGAAGAAGAAGAAACAATAGATAAAGATAACCCCACAATCATGAGGTTTGACTGGAAAAATCTATTAAAAGAAAAATACATCTGCACGGATTTGAAGACACCGAAAGGGAAAACGCCAATTTGCGCTGATACAAAGGTAAAAGGCGAGTCATTCGTTAACAGCATACAAGACGCGATGGAAACACCAACTGTGCGGTCATTTGTTAAACTGCTCGAAAACGATCCAGACCTCAGCGTACTTGACATTCATGGTCACCTTGGTATATTCTCGTTGGTGGCCGCTAAAATGGGCCGCGACGTCGTCGTAGTTGACGGGTATCAGCACACCACGCAAGCACTTGCTAACAGTATAAGTATAGGGAATTTGCAAAATTTCGTCACCCTGATCACCAACCCTATCGATTATTCCGAGTATCATCTTAGTCTAGTCGGCGAAAACGCTGATATAGTGAGTGTAAACTCGGAGGTATCAGAAGGGAGAAATAAGGCGGACCCCATAGCAATTAACAATCTCGTAGACGAAGTGAACTATCCAAGTTGTTTACTGAAATTGGACATAACTGATCTGGACATTCGAATGTTTGTGCCCCCTTATGGATTGTTTGCAGCCCTGAAAATCCCCGTGGTTAGTTTAGGATGGAAAAATGCCAAAGATAAACCCCATGTCCAGGCATTAGCCTTCGCCATGATGTCCAAGCTGAATTACCTCCCTTTCCTCTCCATCGTCGAATCAACGTACCCTCTCGGGCCTTTGAGCACCGACCGGAGGTGGAATGAAGCGCCGTCCGTGTTCTGGGTCAGGGAAAGCTACTTAGAAAAGCGCCTCAAGCATTTGAAGAACGCCCCGCCTCCACCCGCCATGCAAAATGCCGAACCTAACAACTTCGACCCACAACCGCCCCAGGGACTAGGGGGATTCCAAGAACCCCCCAATCAGCGTTTTGCGCCTCAACCTCCCGAAGATTTGGGTCAGTACGAAAACAACCCCCAGGAATTAGGGGGTAACCAAGACGTTCCACAAAATTTGGGTGATTACCAGGCTTACCCTGATCAACAACAGCAACTCCCATCTGGTGAAGAGCTTCGACAGATTCCCCAGCAAAGAATGGAGCCCCAAGTAATGAACCGACAGCAGATTGAGCCACAAAGAAGACTCCCACAGCAAATGAATGCACAGCGATTCGAGCAACAGCCAAAAGGCAGAGTTAACGAGCCCGCTCAGGCAATGCATGCAGCAAGACTGCAAGCCCAGCAGGAAAGAATGCAAGCACCTCAACCGCAGCAGCTCCGTCCCCAACACCCGGCACAGGGACGGCAACAGCCACTGGCCCATGCAGGACAAGGAGAGGCGTTCGGAAACAGACCGCCCGTTCCAGCGGCCCAGGGAATGGATATGCCCATGGGGCAACAAGCCAGGGTACCGCCACGTGTCCCTGAAACAATGGGCCAACCCCAACAGTCACGTGGCCAAGAGGATACGCAGCAAACTGTTGGAAACCGTCAGCAACCTATTGACACGATACAAATCGGTACTGTAGATAAAGATGCACAACCTCCGGATGTGAGTGGTAAAAAATTGCGTCCCGGTAAAATAAGCAAAAATACGGCCGCGTTTATAAAAAAGCAAGCAGATAATATGGGTTTGGAACTGAGTCAAGAAATGAAAGACAGACTAAATGATGCCACTGATAACGAAAGCACGTGAAAGTGCGACAGAGTGACTGAAAAATCCTTCGCAACACCAGCGCAACCTGATCTCAGCAAAAGCAATGCACTGTATTTCTGCCAGCACAATGCACCGTGTTAGGTAAATCACAAGCTAGGTTTACTATACACTCTACTATTGAGTAAAATTTATGTAGGCCCCTATACGTTGTTTCTAACAGTGTGACGTTGCGTAAGTTTTCGTTGATATGGACATTGAGATCTCAGTCTATGTTATTATAATGTAACCTAATTACAGTCTGTAATGTGCCGGGTTATGATGTAAGTTGTAAAAGATATTAACAAAAGGAATAGCTTCTATTTTCAGTTATTCCAGACACATTTGGACTATCATTAGCCTGTATTAACTGTTTGATAAAATTCTGAATCAGTTTGATGGGTTTTACTTTTTTAGAAATAAAGTACATAAATATTTAAAAATTTGGTGTCGCTGGTGAACTGAGAAATTTAGTAAGTTACTGTTTTTTCCTTACCCCAGGGAGTGCATCTTCTGTTATAACCCCGCCTTCTCTCTCTCTCTCTCTCTCTCTCTCTCTCTCTCTCTCTGAACTCTGAATTGTTTAACGTTATTTCTGTAAAATTATGCACAAAACCTCATGCAAGTACCGGTAGGCCTTAAAATGATAATAATAATAATAATAATAATAATAATAATAATAATAATAATAGGTTTTGTAGAAAAAAAGGAAGCACTGGGACTATAATATTATAGGCCGCCCGGTATATCCCCTAGTTAACCAGCAGGACAAACGTTAATCCCGAGGTGCCGCCACCGAGCAACCTAGCTTGCACTGATTTTAGATATTTTTTTCAGATTGTCTTCTGAGACAACCTAATAGTGTGAGAGAAATTCCTTTCAAAGACAAAAACCTGGATAAACCTATAAATGCGACAATTTCTTGAATTTTGATTAGCAAATTCTCCATTTTCTCGGGATATTTAGTCATAGACCTTCCCTAAGCAAAATGGCACATTTACGAACGCATAATGTTTTATCAATAGAACATTAACCTATTTATAGCCTTTAAAACGATACATTGAATCCTTTTTCTGGACAGTAGTCTTTGTACTGGTAGGCCTAAATAGCGCTGTCAAAATCCATTGGGAAGGTCTAAAAATCTTTAATTTTTGCGGTAAGTCGCCCAGCTCTTTTATAAATGTGAAAAGGCCTTTCCTGAAATGTGCTATTGTTAAGCTGTGTCAGTCATGATAAATGATCGAAATGAGATGTGAATCGATGCTGTTTTCGCGGATAACTGGATCAGTAGGCTACTGCATGCATGGTAGCTACATATAACCACGCCCTTAATTTGCTTGAATCGCGTTCGATCAATATATAGTTAGGTCATGTCACTCTAGATGTGCTAGGAAGCTGTGTAATATATAGGTATGGTTAAATGCTTTAAATTAAATCAATCTTTCAAAGTGCATAATATTTTTTATTTCATATCATTGTGCACTCATACACGTACATACGTACTGAGTACTGTACGAGTAAATTTTTCATCTTAAAAACTTTACAAAGTCTTTAAAATAACAACATTTCATCTATAAAAATAATGCACAAATTAAAAAAGGTCTTGAAATTTCTCTTTTCTTTTAACCAAGTCTCTTTATGAAATACAATTTACATGGATCTAAATGTTAACATGAAACTTTGATAAATTCTGATAAATTCATAAAGATGAAGTCACATGACAATGTTAGTAACAGCCAATCAAAAACGGCGTCCTGGGCGGCCATATTGAACAGGTGCGCCGCCTTGTGACAACCTGACAGTGTTGTTTATATCGTAGTTGACTTTTGAATGTGTCGCCCGCATTGTCCTTTAGAAACTGAGGCAAAGAAGAGCACTGTAGTAAAGATGTGAAGGTGAGTATAAAGCACCGCCAAGAAATTTGGACATTCTCTTCTTCTTAATATCTTTTTGATAAAATATTCTGCAGTTTCATAAAAATTCAAAATTCGATTCGGCGCTAGTTGCTTCACACTCGTCAGTGAAGGTACTTCTACTACTAGCTACCAGTACTACCACTGCGTGTCCAGTTGTATAAATGCTTGCCGTCTCAGAGCCATAATATAACATTATCATCTCTCTTTTGTGTTACTATTCTAGTGTAAGCTGTTTAGAAATGTTGAAGTACCCGGTATTTGATCAAAGTTAGAGGACTGAAATGCCACTACATTGACTGCACAGTTAAACACACCACTGCTACTTCACACTTGCATAACTTTTTCATAGTTGAAGTGTGTATAGTGGGTGGCTTTAATGGGGTTAAAAAGCGTTACATATGTGACTAAAATTGATGACTGCAATCTACCTTTTGAAACATTTCTCTGATATAGACCAAAGTTAATTGGCTGTTTTTAGCACCCAACTTCCTTGTTGTTCATTTCAGTGTTCTCATCCCTGGATGTACCTGGCCTGAGGGCCAGGCATTTAAGGCACTCGTCTGGAATTCTTTCCTAGATTTTATTGTTAATTTCAAGTACAGAGCAGCATCCTTAGTCCTCACTGAGGTCATGCATTCACTATGTGTCAGTGTGAGATTAAAAAACAAAAAAAAAAAACAAAAAAAAAAACATAATATTAAATACTAGTACATATTGGTAACTGATTGTTTTAATACTTTGTAACCTTGAAACACAGTAAAGTGAAGTTAGATATATTACTAGTTCGTAACATTAATTTCGCATCTTTTCATTTCAGCTTTGACACAGTTCACAAATAAGAGGTGATCGGTTAATACCAGCGGACCATAACTTACAACAATGAAGCCATCACGCAATAAGCCAAGATGGCAAAGTTCACCAAACTTCAGCGTAAACTCACTGTACAAATTCATCAGACTTTGGCTGCTGCTCCTGATGTTCAACACTGTGGAAAATCACAACTTTAATGTCCTTTATAACCCATGTTCGCATGTTGACGAAGTCACTGGGATGACAGAATATTTGGCATGCCTTGGTGAACCGGAGGAGTTGACAAGGACAGCTTATTATAACTTGACAGTGAGTTCTCCCAATGACACTTGCGGAGACCCCCCAGAGATATTCTGTGGTCTGGTAAGTAGGGAATGTTAAAGAGCTTTTTGGGGGGTAAAATTTTGAACAAATGTCTCTATGCATTTTTTCGTCTCATTTTTTTTTTCATTAAGATTATTTTATGTGTTGTGTTTTTTCTGCTTTTACTTTTATTAAGATTTATCTTTACTATATGTGTTCTTTCTGCTGTACTTTTTTGCGCTAATTTTATTTGTAAAGTAATTATCTGAAACAACAGGCCTGGATTTATTAATTATTTTTTTGTTTAGTTTCTTTAAATTTAAAATCAATGTTTCAGACAATAATAAGTTATAATAAGGCCAGATGGTATGGACACAAAACTAGACTATTAAATCATCGGCTGAATAAGTCAATAGAACTGATTACCTCGACAGTTATGTCATCAATGATGAGTCTAACTCAGAGAATAGCACAACATGGACCTAGACCACAAATTAAGATGCAGTGACATCACTCATTTTTTCAAACTTCAAAACTTAAGCAGAATAGGAAAGCTTGTTTTTTTTATATCAGATGTTGTCAGTGAAGTTAGTAGATGGAGTAGTTAAGTACTAGTAAGAAGACTGGCTGTGTCCTATCTGTTATGTCACCCAGTTGTCATGGCTCTTAATTAAATCTACTTCACAATGTGTCTATTGATCATTTCCTACAATCACATGAAATATTTACCCTAAATCACCTAGGAAATACCTCGCTAGCGTGTCTTTACCTTTGGTGGGTTTTGTTTTGTTCCTTCCTGGTTTCTCTGGTTTAATCATAAAATATTTAGAATATTTCCCCAATACCAAAATTATATTGTAATGAAATGGCGAAGTTATTGTGTAGTTAAATAAGGGTTTAAGTCAATCAGAAATGGGATTTTCATGTTTATACATTGACTCACTGCAGAGATCCTACAGTAACTTTTGTGTTATTTTTTAATTTCATATTTTTGTAAGAAGGTGCTTAACATTGCAGATGTTTCAATGTTAACTATAATCCTATAAACACCTCTGCTGCATGCTTACTGGTAGTCTCACTGTAAATAGTTTTTGTTACCTAGTATTGTTGTTCTTATATTTGTATTCTGTTGTCACCGTGATGATTTCTTTTTTTTGGAATTAATCAGTCCTTCAATAATTAATTCAACTTTCTCATACCCTTGTTTTCTACATCGATCTACCTGTTTTTTTTTTTCTTTCTTTTTTTTTTAAACTAAGCACAGGGCAAATTCATACGATATTCCACCCCACCTATTATAAAATTGATGATTACGTTCCTGGCTGGACTTAAGAGGTCTGTTGGCCATAATAAAAAGCTGTCAGCTTAGATGGCTAGATTTACCTGAAGTTATGATATGATATGCCTCTATATAACATTCCCCTTGCTTTTGAATTCCTGCAAATCCAGGTGATTATCTGGGGGTTCAGCAGCTTTTGTATACTGTTGAAATAACGAGGCCTAGACCCTCAAGCATACCCAGGCAACATAAGATAACATGTTTTCGTACTACCAAACACATTGGTAAATAGGGTTTGTTTTAATTAAGAACATGTCCACCCCTATCCCCAACTCTGCAAGTTGCAGCACTGGATGGTGTGAAAAACTGGAGGAGGACTGTATTAACTTTTATGATGGCTTTACATTTTCTCATTACATATTTACACACTTACAGAATCTGATATGTATTTGATATATAAGGTGGAACTATATGGAATCCTTCTTGATGCTATTTATAACTAATTTAAAGTAACTATAACTAAAAGGTGATTCTTTTTGTTTTGTATTGAGAATGTAATGTTGACTGATATGTATTTTTATTTACTAGTATTTATTTATAATTTGGTTCACATTATTTACAGTATCATCTATTTTGTTTATTACATTTTTTTCAGAGACGAGGTTCAGCGTGTGATTACTGCAATGCCAGCGACCCAGCTCGCGCTCACCCCCAAGAGTACATGGTTGACGCTGACAGCGAAAACACCTGGTGGCAATCTGTCACCTGGCAACGCCACCCACAACCCCTCCACATCAACATCACCTTCTCTTTTGGCAAACTCTTCGAGCTCAGCGATGACATCATCATCAGATTTAATTCAGGGCGACCGCAGGAGATGGTCTTAGAAAAGTCAATCGATTTCGGGCGCACCTGGGTGCCATTGCAGTACTACGCCAGTAGCTGTCAGAAATACTTTAATCGTGGAGTGCCAAGGACGATAACCATGGCCAATCCAGATGCTGTAATATGTACAGAGGCGAACAGTGTTGTGATCCCTTACACTGGAGGAGAGGTGAAATTCTCCGTGACGGAGGACAGGTTCAGATTGTTCCTCGGAAACACTCTTACAAATTACACCACTCTCTTTGAGTCCTTTAATGAGACAAACTGGAATGTGTTTTTGAGATTGACAGATCTGAGAATAAGGCTGCTTTATCCTGCCACAGATGGGAATGAGCTCTTTCCTACAGACAATAACATATTTAGGAAGTATTACTATGCTATAGCTGATGTCTCTGTGACAGGAAGGTAAGCTGTCTTCTTCAGTTAGCCAGCTGTGGTACCATCTTATAGAGTTAATGGGCTAAATCTCTGTCATAAGTATTATTATGCTAGAGCTGATGTCTCTGTGACAGTTAGTTGAGTTGTCTCAGCCTGCTTTAGCCAACTTAGTTAGTTGTCTAAAACTCTATCATAAATATGGATACAAATAGGCAGTGCCAATCTGTAGCTTACTATAATACTGACCATAAAGCTTTCCAACATCAGCCAAGAAAACTAGAACTTTTTAATTAATGTTTTTTTTATAAAGTTGAATTAAATGTGAGTATTCAAAGCAAAACAATATTTTAGAGTGGCTGTTAATTGTTCATATACAAAATAAAGGTACTTGAGCTCTATGAAGTCTGAAAGATACAAACACAGAACTTGCCCCAGCTTATTTTATTTCATGCATCTCTTATACACTAAAATGTCTCTTTATTCCTAACCCCCCACAGGTGCTACTGTAATCTCCATGCCAAGTTTTGCCAGGTCCAGAATGGCCGTACTGTGTGTGACTGTCAACACAACACCGCGGGTGACAACTGTGAGCGCTGCCTGCCACTGTACAATGACAGACCCTGGAGACCAGGTTACTATCTCCCAGTGGACACGGGGTCCCCCAACCAGTGTCAGAGTAAGTGTACTAGTGTTTGTTTGATGCCAGTTTGTTTACCTGACTCATAGTCATATACTAAGTACATGTAGATATTAGAATCAGAAATGCATGTGTTCTGCTGTACTTGCTTTCCAGAGGCGGATTTAGGGCGTCTTCTGGGTCTTCCGGAAGACGGTCAGATTTTCAAGTTTACATTGACAGGTATCCATTTTTTTCTGTCGGAAGATGGTCAAAAATGACGAACGGATCAACAAAGATAATTTGGAAGACTGTCAGAAAATATCTCTGAATCCGCCCCTGCTTTCTCCTAGCACATGTCAGCAGGAGTGATATGATACCATGATCAATGCATCATATGTGCTGAGTATTCAGATAGTGCTGTCATATGCCATTCAGAACTGAATGATATCTCCCTAAGCTGGCTGAATTATTCAAAAGCTTTCCTACCCGTATTTTTAACATGAAATGCATGTCAACACACTGTGACACATAAAACACACAGCTTATGTGTATTGAAAATCAATAGATTGCTGTGTGATCTTTCTGCTGTGGTATTAATCATGAGTTAAGGGCGGGGTTCTTAATGCAAATTGTGGCCACCAATATGCATTAAATTGTTTAATAAAAAAGATTACTGTATGTGTGTCATTTTTTGACATTTCATTATCAATTTGATGAAGATCATTTATGAAGTTATTTGAATGTCTTTAAAAGATAAACATGGTGATATGAAGACATTGTGTTACTGTATAAAAAACAACATTGCTGCTGGTCTTGCATAACCCCAAAGTGGATAATTAATTTTGTAAAAAGTATAAACTGAAAGGTTTTATATTGAGACTTAAAAGTGCTAACTTCTATTATTAAGCCCCAGCTTGGAGAATTGACATATTTTTAACCAATATCTGCTGGATGTAACTTTCAAAATTTTGAGCACTTGTAAAAACTAAATACTAGAGGCTGAACCATTATATTATTCACCGTCTATCATTTACTTTATATGAAATCAAATCTGCAGTTATGATCAGTTATTGCTGTTTGTGTGTAAACTGAAGACTCGTTTATGGAAACACATGTTGGAGCATTCAGTGTGGCAGTTGTTTCCATTACAAGTATTTGTCATTTGCATATTATATTGAGTACTTAGCTGAATTATTGATGTCTCCTAACACACCTGCTGCACCAGTTAAAACATACATCAAGTCACATTTAGATTAAGACATGAGTCAGTGATTTTGGTTCTTGCTTAGGATTCTCTTAAAGTATGTCTACTATGTATTGATTTAGCTACTTTTTATCCATGATCACTAACTGTAAAAACTACCTGTGAACAAGGCGTCAGATATTAACTCTGTTTTGCAAGAATGTTATTGACAGTTTGGTCTCTATTCTTTGTTTTTAATTTTATGCATCATATTGCAGATTTACAAATCTTATCTTCATTTACATAATGTAATTTCAGAAAAAAAAAAACCCCAGTAAATTAAATAATTGATTATAATGATAGTATTAGTAAATGTTCAATAAATATACTGTTATCATTAAATTATTTAATACAGATGAATCACGATAAAAGATTAAAATGATATTAACCTCAATAGCTCTGTAAAGGTGGAACAGATCGTATTTTGAAATATAGGTAAAATGTTTGTATTAATTTTTTATGCATAGAAATTATGACATAGAAACAACAAATGTTTCTTGTACCTTAAAATGAGGTTGGATAAATGAATATTTCTCTTTAACTGAAGTAGAAACAAATATATTATCATCCACAATAATTTAAAAGTCATGCTTAATTTTCTCCAGAATGCAACTGTAATGACCACGCAGACAGCTGTACGTATCAGGGATCAGTTGGTGGTGGCGTCTGCGACAACTGCTACCACAACACCAGGGGGCGTTACTGTCATGAGTGTCAGATGGGATATTATCGTAATTTGTCGTTGGCTATGACGAGTGTCAATGCTTGTGCAGGTAATGTGCCAGTGCCAGGGGGGTGTAATTATGTAATTGTTGATGAAAAAATTTATTCTGGGCTTCACATATGATATGATGTTCACAAACTATATTTACATAATCTTTTTGATAAAGGTGGTGAATTGTTTTCACTTGTCAATTAATTTGTCCTTTATTTTGTAAAAAAATTAGATATTTTATTTGTCAACAACAAAATATGATCTGGTGTTAACAGTAAACTGATGCCACAACCTGTTGTTCGCAAAGCAGGAGAACAGATTTTTCATGCACAGTAACCCCAATACATTAAACTTATACATGTAAAATATGTCACATTTATTTTCAAATTGCTAAAATTAATTACTAGTAAAATTTAAGGTTTTCATTCATGAAAAACCAACAAAATATTTGTTATTATTTTTTAGCATGTAATTGTGAGGTCCTTGGTGTCAGGGATGGAAACCTGTACTGTCTCCAGAGTGCTAGTAATAATCAGGTCATTGGTCAGTGCTTCTGCAAGGACAGAGTGACCGGCAGGAGGTGTGATCTGTGTGTAGATGAATACTACGGGTTGTTGTTGTCAGAACAACAGGGGACATGTAAAGGTGAGAGTAAGGAAAATAACACACACACACACACACACACACACACACACACACACACACACACACACACACACAACTGATGTTGTTTGGTAGCAGATCTTCCAAAATTCAAATAGTTTATTTTAACTTGTGTCTGTAATCTTGTTCTCTGAGATTATAATTGAAAAAATGATGTTGGTTTCCCTTGACAAATTGCAGAGAGAGAGACCTCTCTTTCTCTCTCTTTGCTAGCATGTGTTTGTGTGGTAAAGAAAAAATTAATTCAAAGTGTTCACTGTGCTATTTGTTGATTCTACGTTCTTCTTATCACCCCAGCTTGTGGATGTAATCAAGATGGCACTGTACTACAGAGTAATGTGTGTGAGAAGCAGCAAGGCCAGTGTCCCTGTAAGCCTAACATACATCTGAGGACATGCAGTGAATGCAGGGATGGCTTCTATGACTTCCCAGCAGGAAGGAGTGCTGAGGTCAGTTCAAGAGATGTCAGTTTTATTGCAGGTTTTTTTTTTTGTACAGTTATGGTACATACGTGTTAATATTTTAATTATTAATAGCAAAGGAATGCAATATTAGTTGAATAATTTTATCTGCTTCTTAAAGTAGTAAAAATTATTTTAAACTTATTAACACAAACATCATTTTATTTTGCATGATTCTCTTATAATGGGTTAATTTCAAAGACAGCTTATTAGTATTGATAGAGTTCATGAATTAAATCCCCCCCCCCCCCCCCTCCCCAATACTGTTACAGTAGAGAAGGCTTTCTTGACCATGTAACCAAACACTACTATTTCTCCTCCAGGACTGTCAAGACTGTGCATGTGACCCCGGAGGGTCAAGGTCACTGGTGTGTGACAAGGTCACTGGATTCTGCCAGTGTCGTCCCAATGTTGTCTCCAAGACATGTAACACTGTGGCGCCAGGCTACTTTCACCCCTATACAGATGCTATGTACTACAAGGTGTCCCGGGGAAACTGCTCTGAGGCATCTGATGTGGTATATGTGGGCAGGTTTACAGGGATGACTTTCCAGTCTTGTTTGGGGAATGCCTACATGGAGTTTGGACCACTGAGTCTTGATTCTAGGATCAGTCAGAATGAAATGTATGTACAGTGTGTAAATATTTATTTTGAAAGTTGTATTTTTTCAACCGAACTTTTTGATTTCTTTTCATTTTCTGCTGGTTTGACATTGGCTAGCTAGTTTGTTTAATCCCTGAGAATCTGTTTGAAGTTAGTAAAGCAATATAAGAAAAAAATTACAATATAATTTACAGTAGGATAAATCTTAACAAGCAAATTTCCTGTAACATTTCATGTGGATTATTAATGTCCATAATGTGACTAAAAAGTAGTCTCAAAGTTTGTGATTTTATATAAAAGTTTGAACATTTTCACTACAGGTATGTGTACCCAGCAGTTCGGTTCTCATACGACAATGCCATTATGAATGGAGTGCTGGATATCACTGTAGATGGCAGTATTGTTGGTGAGACCTGCCCCACTACAAGAGGAGCTCTGACCAGTATGGGCACTGTCTTTACGCAAGGTTAGAACAAGAACTTATATGCTAATTATCAAGTTCTAGACACTGTTACAGGTTTTAAAATTTTATTTACAGAGTCACTTTTGAAAAAGAAGCAACCTATTGTATTTATTTGTGGACAAATATTTTATTCAATAACTGTAATAGCTTTCAAAAGATTTGTTCATGGACCCCTTAAAGTAAATAATTTGATATTTAGATAACCAATCATTTCTCAGCCTACTATAAAGTTTCAATATAAATTGTGCTCACCAGAAACTAGCAATAAAAAATATCTGTGTTCTACTCAAGATGTTGATAACTTCTGTTAACAGGGACTGGCAATGCCTGGGTGTCAATATCCCCAGTGCAGCTGGACAAGAGATGTCAGTACATCTTTACCCTGAGTTTACTGGGGGAACCCAACTCTGTTATCACCATTGATGCCCTCCTCTTGTTGCCAGCCTTGGAGTACACAGAGGCTTTCATCCAAGCAGGTATTTCAGACAATTTTCATGGATGAAAATGAAACTGTTCTTTCTTTCAGGATTGCTTCCTTTTCAAGGGTAAAACAGATTTTAGAAATTTGTCTTTTTTTTATGAAATGTTCAAAAACTGGGAAAATCAACAGGAAGGATATAGTTCCCCTCATGTTTTTTTTTTTTTTTTTTTTTTTTTTTGGAGAGATGTTAAAATAAATGAGGTGTTTTATTTGTGCTCATTATCTTATGCCTTGGTAACAGATTATTAAAAGAGTTTAATTTTGATCTCTGTTTGCCTGTATTGTATGAATAACTGAATATCAGATGTGTTTTCACTTTGAATTGTGTTTCAGATATAGCCACGCAACTCCAGTACAGAGATTGTGTCCAGCAGATTGCCAAACTAAACACCAAACAGCAGGCTGTCTCCAGGTTACTATGCCAACAGATGGCCTTCTCTGTCATGGCGCAGCTCTACAATGGGACTATGGGTATTTCTTTACATTTATTTTAAAGAAAATCATGCTGACGAATTAATTAAAGATGCATACAAAGTCAATTTTTTGTCACAAAAACCAACCAAATGCCAGCATATTGTTTCAAGTAGTATAACTAAGAGAATTACCAAAAGGCATTGTATAATTTTACCTGAAAATGATGTTTGAACAGATTTTTCTGCTGGCATTTTAAGCTGTATGTCAATGGGGCAGGAAAGTAGGTCACGGAAGTAGGTTAAATTTACAATCATAAATTTAAAGAAAGGAGCAGTCTAAAGGTCTTTTATGGCTGATGGAGTGATCTATTCAATTTTTCCCTTGGCATGTCGAATTTATTTGAGTCATATAAGAATCTAGTAGAAGTGGTTTACATGTGTTACTGGGAATCCACACTCCACCGATGCTCGGTTCGTATGTACCTTTAATGAAATAATTTTAAATTTTTTAATGATCATAAAATGTGTCATTTGCAAAGGTTTTCAGTTGGCTTTTCCATATAGATTTTTCAAATGAGCCAGTGTTGAAATATATACCATGTATATTTTAAAATCAGTGTCACTTGTAAATTGCAGTTATATACATGTATTGAAGTATTTTTATTTTTTTTTTGAGAAAAATATTATTATATAACGTGAGGCAATTTTTTAGTTTGCCCATAAAAGTAGGAAGTCCTGAATATTTTTTTCTTACAGCCTGTGACTGTGATTCTACGGGTACATTAGAGAACAGCGTCTGTGCCTCCTATGGCGGACAGTGCCAGTGTAAACCTGGGGTGTTTGGTTTAAGATGTGATGTCTGTGCACCTGGCTACTACAACTTTTCGGTCAATGGATGTACAGGTAAGGACAGGTGTTTACTGTGGGAGGGGATGTCTGGAGGTATGTTTTATGGATGTACAGGTAAAGACAGGTGTTTACCTTAAGGTATATATGATGTCTACTCAGTCACTACATTATTTTTGAGTTGCATCTGAAGCAAAATTGACTTGGTAAGCACTGATATCTAATTCCGTCATTTTTTTTTAAAGTGAGACATTTGGCCTTGGTTGGTGCTACTCCTGGGATGATTCAATGTTGTGTCCTGGGCATTTGAAATATTTGCTGGTATCATTGCAATATGCTTATCTGTGTATACATTGATGTTGTGTTTCTAGTATGTAAGATTGATGATGAACCTGTTTTTCCCAGATGAATTGTATCTGTGTATAGTCAAATTGGACATACATGTATATAGATTTATGTTTAATATTTATAATATTTATTTGAGGTAGAGGGTTATATTCATGTGTCCTGGGCCTCATGCTTACCTTAATACTCCACAAATTTATAATTTATAAGTAAACGTTGATTTTTGTTTTTACTGCACAGTTATTATGGGAGTGTTATTGTAGGAGGAAGTGGTGAAGCTGGAAAACAATATCTTTAGTGAACTGTTCAGTATTGTTGTATGAATTATTTCTGAAATTTTAAACAAGTAAAAGTGCTTTCTGTAAGACCTATATTTCTACAGAAAATTGATCAAGGTACCGGTATTTAAAAAAAAGTCTGACATAATGTTATGAAATACCAACTGAAAAAATACTTTAACTTTTTCAAAACTCTTTTTGAAAAATTTTGGTCTTAGTCAAGTCAGCATAATGAATGTTCATGTAATTACAAAATATGAACACTGATATGAATAATAATATGAAAGTTTTATCAAAAAGCATGCAGCCAAGGACCATGGTTTGTAACCTATAAAGTAAGGCAGCTTTTAGCATTAGAGGCCAGCACTCCTTCGGACCTCGGGTCTCCAAGTTCCACTATTTCCCCCTCTGACCCTGCTTACACTAGTATCATAGCTGTTATCACTACTGCTGCTGTCTTGGTGGCCATTTGTATTTGTGCTGGGATATACAATAATGGTGTCTTTCATAGAATGATGGATTGTTTGTGCCACTGGGAATGGAGGCGCCACTGCTGCCCATGTTGTGTGCGCAAACGTCTTAGTCCTTTGAGTGTTTTGAGGAGTCTTCCTCAGCCAAATGGCAGCAGCTTCAGAGAGCAAGACAGGACACAGGTGTCAATGGGAGATAGTTGGGGAGAGGCTGATGATGAGGAGGAGGAAGTTTTAGACTTGAGAAATGTTGCTGAAGACATAAAAGATAAGGATCCAGAAATGGTTGAAGTACGCACCAGCTCTTCATCCCTAGAGAGATATCTGGTGACATCTAGGACAACTTACTTTACTGAAAATGAAATAAACAGAAACGATGATGAAAACAGAGATTGGGATGGTCACTTTGAGGGTGCCAGGCTTCAGTTTTCTACCCTGTCATCTGCCGAGGAGAGAAGGGTTGACCACCACCCCAAGAGTGAAAGAATGAATTGGACCAAGACTAAAAGTTTATCAGAAACAGGAAGAAAGAGGAGGCAGCTTCCAGAGATCTCCAGAATGGTCCCATTACCATTGCAAGAAAAGTCAAAGGACACACTGGCTGTTCCAGCACTTGCTTACCCCCCTGGCAGAAGGTGGAATCCCAGAACGAGAATCAAAACAATCTCCCGATCAGACGATGAAGAGTGCAGGTCAGAGAAAGAATTTCACCAGACTCAGAGCGATGAGTATGTGTCTTCCACAGGCTATGATTCTAGTATCAGTATGGACACTCTAAGTAGGAGTTGGGGGGATAGGTCGGAGGAGGAGACGCAGTATAAGAGCTCAGGTGACGGTCTAGCACAAGCTCTTTCCACCTCCAGTGAGACTTATGAGCCTCGTTCTCATCCTGGAGGAGATATCAGATCTCACCTCAGCAAAAAAGAGAGGTTAACTAGGAAACCAAATGTGTTAATAGTGCAGAGAAATGACCTTGGGTCATCCAAAGAAAGTAACAGTAAGCCAGGAGAGAGATGCCGTCATCAGCAGTACCACCAAGCCAAGATTAAAAGAAGATTTTCAGAGCCGTTAAAGAAGGATCAGTTTACATACAGTACCAGAGCTGGAAGAAGATCTTCAGATGGAAATAAACCATCAAAGAAACAATCTAGTAATGGCTATAAGTCACAACAATTTCCAAAAAGTGGTCGAGTCTTAGATAAAGATGAGTTGATCCCACATGATAAACTGGACAATGTAGACAAACAAGATGCTGTGGGGAACACTAGTGAATCTGACTCTTATAATTCTGATGATTCTTATATTTAGGAACAATGGCCAGATCCAAATGCAGATGGAATTGAAGAAGACCTTTTTTTCTTTTGATAAAAGAAATATTATTTATCTTTTACAATAAACAGACTGAGTGTGACTTAAACAGTATTTATGTAGAATATTTAAAAAAATATTTTATACAAAAGATACAAGATTTTTTTTAAAAACACATGAGGTTATTTGCTTAAATATTTTCTGACATCTGAATTTCTCCTTTACCTTGAATATTCATGTTATATTAAATGGCATATGAAAGATAACTATAGCTTAGAATAAATAATTGAATTAAAATTTTACCTTGTTAGTTCTCAGGAAAATTCATTGGAACTGCTGCTTTTGGATATGCCTGTAACATCTTATCAAATGTACATTTATGAATTAAAGGACTAGCTTTATTTAATGTGCAAAATATGGCTGTATGACATGTGCAGACATTTTTGTAATCATTTTCATCCTGTTTTTGGAGAGGTCAGTTTCAGGAAGGATTTATTAGTTGATATTTTTTGATGTGTTACTTAACCAAGTTAAGTCTGGCCCTTGAATATACTACACTAAGGGTGCATTCCCAGATATTTAGATTTAGATCGACCTAACTCCCTGGGGGTTCACGCTAAATTGCAGTCAGCCGAGCGTGCACCATAGTTAATTACCCCTTTAAAGCTTTTAGTAGGCCGGACAGACGTTTAGCCGGCTAAGCTGACAGTAATCTAGTGAGATTCCCCACAGGGATAGATCGATCTAAAATCTATGGGAATGGGGTCTCAGATCCCTGATTCATACTAGGGAGCATACAGCCTGGCTGTTGTATGAGGGATCGCAAGCTAGTATATGTACTACAATATATTTCACTGCCAGCTGAAGCGCTTCACCCTTGCTTTAGCCCCTATGTGCTGAGTGCCAAGTCGGAAGTCGAAGACAGCAGGTACAATTAACGTAAGACTAGTATGTCCTCAGATGGAGTCAAACCCATGGCCTCCAACTGCAGAGGTGGAGACTCTAACCACAAGGCCAACTGGATGGTATAACCCAAATTAACAGTCTGAGAGTTCTGCTGTGGGTGAGAGGGTGGGCTGAGGGGGGTGAACTTTCATATTTAACCTGCTTGCTTCCAATTCTTCTTGATGATAACCTGAAATTGTTCAGTGTTTATGTTACTTTTTCTAATGGTTCTCTTAATAAGTAACCATTGGTCAGTTGTCTTCATGTGTTCAGGTTAGTGCCTGGTGAGAAGTATTTTATTTATTTCTTTTTTTCTTTTTTTTTTTTTTTTTGTTGATATTTTGGAGCAGGGTCAGGTATCATTGTTTTTAAGCAGCTGCTTTATTTGTAAAAATGGGAGACTTATTATTATTTGTAAAATGATTCTTTGGATGTAAAAAATGTTATTGTAGGGTTTGGAAAATAGCATGATGGGATAGCAAATTAAGAAAACAAAAATAATAGTAATGAGTAGCGTTATATGGCGTACTATATTTTGTATGAAACGTTAATAAGGCATTATCAAAAATGTTATTTCTGAAGTCAAGATATGACAATGGAAACATGGTGATCCTCTTCAGAGTCAAATTTTATCTCATTTTGTATCTTGTGACCTCTTCGGCATACCCAGTATATATATCCTTGATGATGTGGCATTGATGGTGGTATGGAGTATGTTTTATGTATGGGAATATAGAGTCATGTTGTGTAGCCATTGGCATTTGATTCCAATGACGTTTCCTGGCATCAGTAAGATTGAAACCCAATTAGTTCCCACATCCCTTTTTTTCTGATGTATATATGTTAAGGAACTTTATATATGAGAGCCATACCTCTTCATTTGAGAATAAACATGTATAGGATGGTAAGTTCCTCAAAGGGATATTTTAAAAAATCAGCCATTTTTTTTCCATAAATAATTAATTGTACTTTTTCCATGTTAACATGTGCATGTGTATGAGAATGTACATGAAATAAAAACTTTACATTTGATCAATACCATTTTATCTGTAATAATCTCAGATGGGGTCATGCTATTAGTGGGTGTTTCAAGACATCCAATTTCATGTGTACACATGCAGGTTTGTGTGCTCAAAATGTGTTCCTTATTTACATTATAATAGTCAGGAAAACTTGTGGTGTTTAGCCCCACTAGTGAACTCTATTCATTATAACATGTCTTCTTGTGTATTTCCAGCTTGTAACTGCCCAGTGTTGGGGTCAGAGAGTCCAGTGTGTGACACTATCACTGGTCAGTGTCCATGCCGGGTGGGAGTGGCCAGAGCTGGACAGCTGGACAACACTGGACAGGTAAGGGAGAGAACACTTGATCTATAAGTTATGTAAATTTATCTGATAAGTTTGTGTAGTTGAATACTAAAGGTTTGTCATTTTGATGATTTAAAAAACGAAAGTGTGGATTTTTGTTTGATATTTGCATGAGAAATCCAATTAGGCTAAGCTTCTGTCTTTATTGACAAAGTAGTGGTGTTTAAAAATAATTTTTCAGCATTGATTAATTTAGAAATTGGTAATATATTGGATATACATGTATATTATATATTTATTTTAGACAAATGGAAACCATCCCATTGTTCAATTTTAACTCAAACATCCAACTTGAAAAATTCACACCATCTTCCAGAAGACCCAGAAGACCGCCTCCATCCCTCCTCCATATAATTACAATTATAGTACATTCTCTGTTCCAGGTTGGCCAGCTCCAGTGTACGTCCTGTCTGTCCAACTATTACGGCTACAGCTCTGGACAGGGGTGCACGGCATGTCTTTGTGACCAGGAGGGGAGCGTTTCACCCCAGTGTGACAGTGTCTCTGGGGTTTGCAGCTGTAAGGTGACAATTACTGGGGACAAATGTGACAGGTGTCTCACTGGGTACTATAACTTCACGGCCCTGGGGTGTAGGTAGGTGAAAGACAACAAGCGATTTTCATATTGATTGGTATTAATAATACTTGAGCAATTTAGTCTGCACTGGTGTTTTGAGAGCCTGCAGCTGGCCATTACATTTGGATCCTCTGCTCTTGACACTGCTGATTGGTTAATTAAAATAAACAGATCAGAATGAATGGACTTACTAAAGGGTGTAAAATCCCTGTAGCGTATTATATGTTAGGACCTCTCTTGTATTGCTAGTTATATTGCACCATGTGAAAAGGGACATTTTAATATAGAAGATTTAATTTTCACACTGATCTTGGTAAATTAATAAACAAATATCAGTCTGTAACAAAATTGTCAATTCTATTTTAAGTGTGTGGTTGGCTCAGATATTTCTTAGAATTAAAATGTCTAAGAGAACTGTTCCTATTACAGTGATTTGACACAGTAGTATTGTGTGAAATTGGTCATTTTTATGGAACAAAATTACAACAAATCATTGTGTTAAATATTGTAATGTTGGTTAACCCTGGAACTTGCATTCATTCAGAGACGTGGCTCACTATAAAGTATTTTTTTTTTGACACTATTCAACTGCATATTCTTTATTTTTATTCCAAACTCTTTCAGGCCCTGCAATTGTAACCCAGATGGCTCCCTAGACATCAACTGCAACCAGACGACTGGACTTTGTCCCTGCAAATCTAATGTAGATGGCGCCAAGTGTGACTCCTGTGTGGCTGGCACCTTCAACCTGGCCCAGACTAACCCCGACGGATGTCAGCCATGTTTCTGCTTTGAGCATGGAACGCAGTGCACCTCAGCACAGGGCTATGTGGCCAGCTCATTGTACACAGATAGGTAATGATGACTGACAAAAATAGCAGTACTGTGATAATCCGTGAATACTACAGGAAACTGGTATTAAGATTATGCCCTTGGAGGAGTTTCAAACAGCCAAAAACAGTGTTCTGAAATTCTGGCTAAATTATTAAACAACACAAAATGCATAAGTTTTTAGGCTACAAAAATGATTGATTTTAGCATGCTGTTGAGTAGAAGATTGCTATTTGTTGACAGTACTTGGCATATACAATATTTATATTATAGTGTCCAGTCTTGGCTCCTTGGCACTAATGAATACTCCACTCACAGAAGGGCACCTGCTGAGTTACTAGGGAACAGGTTCACTTCATATGGCCAGCTGTTATCTCTGTACATGAGACCCAGGACTGGCACTGTGTTCTTGAACGGAGAGCGTGCTGTAGTGATGTCAGGCGGAGGTAATGTGAATTCATTGACTAAAAGTAGAAGATATTATAGCATGATTTTATCCACAGCATAGTGTTTTCTTGCTTTATTTCTTCACATTCGATGAAAAAAAACATGCACTTTCACCTTGAATATCACTTCTAGAACTCTCTTGAACTCAGTTGCTAGAAAGGGGGTGGCAAATGTTATAATTGGATAATGACCACATTTTTTATATTGATGCATAATGCAGAAGTGAGGATTTCAGAGATGAATAATGCTCAACATTTTGAATAGTAAAACATAGAAACTTCTTTCAGTTACCCTAAGCTTAGAGTTTTTACTTTGAATTTTTTACCACACTCAAAACTTAATAAAAACTCAATATCAGTAACACCGATTTCTACTTTTTTTTATCCAGGAGTGACCGTGTTCTATGACCCTGGAGATGTGACCCTCTCCACCACACACACCACCCAGCTGGAGGTTCTACTGCATGAACAATACTGGAGACTGGCAGTTGACACCAGGAAGAGCCCCTCACCACGCCAGTTTTATGGTAAGATCCTAAACAGATATGTAACGATATGCAACAAAAAGATTATTCTTCAGGTTTAGTAAGTAAAATTAAGATAGCACAATGCATATGGTCTGAATCAAAAAGGAAAAAAAAATTTTTTGAAAAATAACATTTGTTGTTAATTTGTTATCTAAGCATAAGTGTTATAAAATCTATAAAAACTGTTTTTAAGTGTTGACAAGTTATCAAGTTGTTGCATGAAAGTCAGATTTTTATAACAACAGCAACATGCTGATTTAAATTTTTTCTTAATTCTAGGTGTTCTGGTAGACCTCCAGGCAGTGTACATCAAGTCAATCTACAGCGGAACATTGGTGGACACACTTAATGTTACCTTGGTTACAGCAGAACCTGCATCAACAATAGATGGCAGTGCTGTCCCTGTCAGCCATGTTGAAAATTGCACTTGTGGAACTTTTACATCAGGTATATTATATCTTTGAGTTACATGTTTTGGGTGAGTTTGATATTTATTCATTTTGGAATGAATATTTGTTGCACAGGCTGTTTTTTACTGTGAAACTGTGCAGAAGTATTATATTTAGGTTTATTTAAAAGTTAATGAAAGAGGAAATGTATTATCCATAGAATAAAAGCTCTCTCTCTCTCTCTCTCTCTCTCTCTCTCTCTCTCTCTCTCTCTCTCTCTTTGTGTTGTGCTGATAATATGTTGCATAAAGATATTTCATCTATAAGAAGACTTAATCTTATCACTTATTTAATAGGTTTTCTAGTTGAAAAATAACGATGATTTTATTCTGTTTTCCTCAGGCCTTTCTTGTGAAACATGTCAGGCAGGACATCGGCGCATTATAAATGGTAGCAACCCCTATAATCCTTGCCAGCCATGTGAGTGCAATATGAGAACAGAGACGGTTGTCCCTGAATGTGACGCAGCCACTGGGGTCTGTCTCAACTGTCGCAATGGGACAATGGGCTCTGACTGTTCAGGCTGTGCTGCCAATGTGATAGGGGCCAACTGTGACCAGTGTAGCTTTGGATTTTGGGGACTTGGAAGAGATGGATGTAGAGGTAAAACATATTTCTTTCTTTCTTTTTTAAAATTTTATACTGTAATTAATTATAACCATGTTTTTTGCCTTGGTTTAAGAATGCCACTGGTATAGATGATAATACACTGTTTATTGTATGAATTTTACTTCTGAAGTACATAATTATTCATTTTATGAATACAGGCTTTCCAGAAGTATAACTCTCAGAATACATAGATAATACCATTTATGAAGTTATTTATAATAGGAAAACACAGTATAATTAACGGGATTGATTGATAAAAAAAAAAAACATGCACAGAATATTCTGGAATGCTAAGAGTTGACAAAATTGTGTTTATACATCCTATAAGACAATGAATCTGGTGACCAGTGCTCGAGGGGATTGTCTTCAGATTATCTGCATACTAATTAAGAAATTAGCAAAAAAAGGCTGCACCTAACTTTTTATATAAAAATGTCACTCTTCAATCATAAACACCATATTTTCACTGTCGTCACTGATTTCATTTCTGACTGTTATAGCATGTGAGTGCAGCCCAGTTGGAGCAAATGGAGACTTCTGTCAGCTCCAGTCAGGCCAGTGTGACTGTAAGGCCAATGTGATAGGGAGGCAGTGTGATACATGTGCTGATAACTATGGTGACCTGACTTCTGCAGGGTGTACTGGTTAGTAGTGCTCACATATGTGTGCATGTGTGCATGCACACACACGCGCACACACACACACACACACACACACACACACACTGTTTGCAAAATACTGAACTGCCAACAAATTATTACATTATGCACATAAATATTGAAGGATTGATATTCATGAATGTTGTTAGTTAACCTATATATAGTATTGTAAATCACAGTGAATTATAACATTATTTATATAAAAGTGTCTTGACATTTACTATATCACTCCGCTGCAAAGTTGATACTTTCATTGAAATAAAACATCCTATTTTAAAACCATCATATTTTCTTCTCTTTCAGTCTGCGATGAATGTTACAGTCTGGTGACCCCAGAGGTAGACCTCCTACGCCAGCTGCAGGTCAACCTGACCCAGTATGTGACCTACTTACAGAGTCAGGACCGGAATACCGAGCTGGGGACGCCATTCACTGTGAGGCTGAATGAAACTCTGCTCAGAATGGACCAGCTCAAGGACTATGTAAGTATAATATCATGGACTGTCAAGTTACAACAGACATTGTAAAGAATTTAGTGTTACAGAAAAAATTTTTTTGGTAAAATATACAGTATTTGTTAATTGTGAACTGCTTACTAATTTTATCTGTTTGATTTAATTAAGGTTGTTTATTAAAACACATGAAAAGAGAAAAATAAAATATGCTTTACATGTGAGTTTCTCTCTAGACAGTAGATGTGGAGTAATTTATGGAATTTTTTTCTAAAGATACAAGATTTATTTCTAATAAATATTCACACACAATTTCTTTGAGGCATAGGTGTCATATTTAAGACACAATATGCCTCTTGAAACCAACTTTGATTTTGATTTTATACTATTTTATAGTTCTCTATCAATCATACATTTATCCTTTCATTAAAAACATTGCATCCACCAACAATAAGAGAAAGTAAGTATTAAGTGCTGTGTATTCTCTTCAAGCTAACACAAGCTGCAGCAGTAGAAACTCCTGTATCCACGGAGATCACCCGTCTGAATCAAACCCTGCAACATCTGATTGGTCTCCTGGAGACAGTGGTGAATGCTGGGATACAGAATGCCAATGCCACCAACGCCGCCTCTGAACTGCTGGTGGAACAGAGTCAGGTGGAAATAGACTATATCAATACAACACTGAGAGATACATATGGGAAATTACAAGGTGATTGTTGTAATGTGTTTTTTACTTTTTTTGAATTATTACATGATGTGGCAAGCATAAGTGGTTTGCACATTTATACGTGCAAAGCAATTTAAACAGAGAAGACAAGATCTTTTCTAGCTGTCAGTTTATTTATTTATTGATATCTGTCATTGCTAAATAATAATCTTCAAATACAGGTTGTTCTTGCCTGGAGGTTTCATACACCGTTACTCAATAACAATGATGAACTTCAAACTAATGTTGCTGACTAATTTTAATTTAATTTTTTTAACATACACATGGTTTTTTCACTTTTCGTCGTTATACTGTGAGTCATCTTTATTTTTACATGTATCACTTAATCATTCTCATCTATAAACTTTCATAGGATTACGTAATGTTGGTAAGTCTACTGAAAATTTTATGATTTTTAGACTAAAATATATTATTATGATATATTATATTATCACAGGTTCTATAGCCCAGGTGACTGCTGACATTGGCGCCCTGCTGTCCTCCATCCAGACAGCCCAGAGTGAGCTGAGCAGCCTGGCAAACAATGCGGTAGATGAGCTGGTGAGGACCACTACTGTTGTGGAGAAGATGGAGGCTGATGTCACAGAGACCAGGACAAGAGCACAGGAGACACTTCAGGTATGGACACACTGGGGAACAGGGTCCCGGAAATTGTCATTTAAGTTAAAGATGCATACAAAGTCAAATTTTTGTCACAAAAAACAACCAAATGCCAGCATATAGTTTCAAGTAGTATAACTAAGAGAATTACCAAAAGGCATCGTTTAATTTTACCCGAAAATGATGTTTGAACGGATTTTTCTGCTGACATTCTAAGCTGTATGTCAATGGGGCAGGAAAGTAGGTCACGGAAGTAGCTTAAATTTACAACCAAAAATTTAAAGAAAGGAACAGTCTATAGGTCTTTAATGGCTGATCGAGTGATCTATTCAGTTTGTCCCTTGGCATGTCGAATTTATTTGAGTCATATAAGAATCTAGTAGAAGTGGTTTACATGTGTTACTGGGAATCCACGCTCCACCGATGCTCGGTTCGTATGTACCTTTAAAGGCTTTCTGGAGCAGGGTGCATCAATATCAGACATGAGCTTTTTCTGCAGAATCACGGAATTCTTCTTTTTTACATGACCCCAGAGCAGTTAACCCCCCCAAAAAAATTTATGAAAGGTGTTTGGTTCCACAATACATGTTCAGTTGTTTTTCTAAAACCTGGGCTTATGTCTGCTATAATAAGCTAGAAATACTAATGTGGAATGGTAAGTGACTAGCCAGTGTATTTGATACTTGAATGGAAAATTTGGAAGCTGAAGTCCTGACTGTGAGAAGCGATTAAGAAGCATTCAAAGTTACCATCTTCGATGTGCTGTTCATTGGAGCCATGTTTTGTCATATCAACTTGTATCTTTATGTTCTTGTGTTTAATTTGTATTTGTGAAACAAAATGGACAGGCAATAGCAAACAGGGAAGGTAATATCATCACAGCACAGGGAAAAGTCCTGGTTACAATATCACCGTGTGTTTTAGAACTTAAAATTAAGCCTGCAGTAGCCAAATATACATATATTAATATAAATCATTTCCATCCCTTCCAGTTGCTCCAGACCAGTCAGCAGACCCAGCAGAACAGCACAGACAGAGCCAACAGCCTCCAGGTCTTCATGAGAGTCCTGGCCAGCAGGAATGGTAACCTAGCAACCAGTGCAGAGGGCGCCAGGAGCGCTATCTCCCAGGCACAGGAGGCCATGTTGCTTGCCCTGGGAAATGTCAGCCATTACCAGGACATAGTAATGGACAGCCAGACACTGACCACCAGGGCACAGCTACTAAAGGAGGAGGCAGAGACACTGAACTTTGAGGTGAGGATTTATTTATTAGGTTATACAATGTATGCATGATATTTTACCTTGGTTATGTCTTTTGGTATTATTTTTACCAGTGCAAAATATAATGTTCTTATATCAACATAATTGTTCTCCAGGCTAACCAGGCAACAGCCAACAATCAGTCAATAGTGGCCTTGGTGAAGGAGGCAGAGCTGTACACGACTGGCCTGACAGACAGGGTGGTCGCCCTCAGACAGCAGGCAGAAAACCTGCTGGCCCGTGCCAGAACGGCGTATAACCTGACGGCCAGTGGGAAGGCACTGGAGGGGAAGACTTTTACTGACGCTCAGAGGATGCTGCAGATTATGAGGGAGTTTGATGCCCAGGCTGCTGGTGAGTGGGATGGGGAGTGGGGGTGGGGGGTGGGTGGGGGTGGGGGTGGGGGTAGAGGTGGCGTAATGTGCCTGTTAAGATATGTTCTGAGATTTTTGTCTGTACTAAAAAAATGGCAAGAACCTTTTAAGTCATACCTAAAAAACAATGCTTGTAGTAAATGAAAACTTTGTTTAATTTCTCTAGCTGAAAACATAATGTTCATGTGAAAAGAAATTGGAAAAGTCCCTGCTGATTTTCAAGTGTGCATTTCTATTATCTTATAGATTTAAATATTGCATTGGAATAATAAATTATTTCATTTTTGAATTTAGACTGCAATGCTGTATTTTGATTTTTGTTTCACTTTATTCATTGATAAAAGACTCGTGTTTCATCCTACACTTTTTATTTTACATGGCGTACTGACTATTTCTACCTGGATATTGTAGGTGTTTCAGCAGCGGCTAACAGGTCACTCCTAGAGGTCCAGAAGGTCAAGGCCCTGAGTGACCAGGCCATCCAGAATGCCGAGGTCCTGAGATCATCACTCCAGCCCACACAGGCCTTTGCACAGAATGCCCGGACAACAGCAGAACAGGCCAGGAGTACAGCTCAGAGCCAGGAACAGGTCTTTCTCTCTCTTTTTCTCTCCCTTTCTCCCCCCTTATGTCTCTCTCTCTCTCTCTCTCTCTCTCTCTCTCTCTCTCAGGGATGGTGTTTTTCTAACTCTCTCTTTGGGTGCCAAAAATATCATTAACCTAGGACCCCCCCCTCTCATACCTGCTTTTTCTCTCTGCAAATATATCATGTTCTTTTATATTATGTTTTTATGAGTTGCACCAGTCATTGTCTTTAATGTTCAAGTCACACAAAAGTAAAGAACAGTAAGAGTATATATTAGAGGTATGCAAAATTTAAAAGTATGTATTATCTGCTTTCCAGACTCTGGCTCCTGTGAGGAGCAAAGCTATGGACCTGGAAACCCATGCTAACAGCCAGCTTAATAATCTGCCTGCCACATTCAGCAGAGTGGGGACAGCCAACACCAGTCTGGTGCAGCCAGCAGTACAAGTGTGTCAAAACCTATCGCCTCTTCTGCTCAACGTCCAGTCTCGCACCTCCACCGCCTATCAGAGAGCTCAGTTGGCCTCGCAACGAGCCAACACCACCAGGACAAGGCTATCAAACATACAGACCAACCTAGACAACATTGCTAGTCTGAATTTACAGCAGATTGCGTCCCTGAAGGCGGAGATTAGCCAGCGGAGATCAGAGCTGAATGCCGAGGAGTTGCGCCAGATGGTGGCAGTGTTGTTACAGGCTAGCAAGGACCAGAGGACATGGCTGGAGGAGGCCAAAACCAGGAGAAATCAGATGAGGACACAGATTGAAGAACTTAAGAAATTTAGTGAGATGATAAGGACAACATAAGATTCATTAATCTTTAGTGTAACGAGGAAGTGTGAGCAGAAACAAAGGAGTAGATTTTATGCTCCCTGAATTAATTAAAATGATAGTTGAAATAAAGAGAAGGCAGAATGAATGATTTATTGGGAATTTTAAAATTTCAAGGAAAATTCTTTTTTTTTTTTTTTTGAGAATATTCCACTTTCCTCAAGTAAAAAAAGCTTTGAAATTCTATGTTTATAGGGAATCTAAGAGAAATTGACTAAAAATGCAAACATCAACTATTGCTAAAATTTCACATACTTACACATTGTTGTTTTTCACCATAATGAGTGACAATCAAAAGAGATGTAAAATATTTTGATATTTATATTGTAAATAAAACATTTACCACAGGAATTTAAGAAAGTGAGATAATATTTAATGCTTCATATCACTATGGAATATTATGTTTCTGGTATAGGTTTGGGTTTTGCTATATGTTATCATCCTAAAATTTTTTAATATGGACTGTCTGTTTATCTTATTTCACTTTTTGTATATAGAATTGTTTTGTCTTGTTTTATTTTACCACATTAAGCTTGTTAAAAAAATATATATATATATTGCCTTTTCTGTTACAACATTTAAAACCCTTTCTTTTTTATGGGGGCTTTTCTTTGATATTTAACTTATCTGTTCTCTTTTTATGTTTTGTTTCTAGAACAGGGTACATAAATTTTTTTTCAATTCTCAAATATTATGCTTTGAAATTTTTACCCTTTTTTCAAATCTCAATATATAACAGTGATTTTTACATTTTTTGCTACATTTCTTCTTAGGGTTGGCTTTGGATGTGATATAGGTTATGTGGTTGATACAAGTCAAGTAAAATAGGTGAAAGGTTCAGCGCTGGCTTTGTTCTTATAACTTTTGAAGTATGAATGTAAGTTGCTGAAAGGAAATTTATATATATATACTTCCATCCCATATTGGCTGATATTCATTATTTATTCCTAGAAATACCATCTGGCTTGATAAATATTATGTTTACTGAATTTTTACTTCTTACTAGGCAGCTTAAGAGCATACCTTTACATTAAGTTATCCATGAGTAGTTGTGATATTCTGAAGTCTGTTTAAGTTTAACAATGACTAGTGAAGAATAAAGATCTTAATTGTTAAAAAATTCTTTGCTCAACAAATGGGTTTAAAAATCCCAATTGATGTTTATGACATTCCTTAAAAATCATAAAATGTATTTGTGTATGTAATGAAGGAAGAGTAAACAGGATTGATTTATTATTGGTTTTATTTCAGCCTAAAGGTACTAGTCAAAATGATTATGATGTTCATTGGACTTTAGTCAGTAGTTTAAGTTTAAAGGAGTAGAGTTATATGGATCAGGTTTAAGAATTGTTTACAGTGTAACTAAATTGTACCTGTTAACAACAACTTACAGGGAATTAACAGCTTAATATTTAAATATTGTGATTATGTACTGTCTTTACCATTCATCATTGATCAGTTTATCTATTCATATTCATATTATTTTTGATGCCAAATAACCTTTATTCTGATATTTTCTTATCATATGGACGGCCTTTTTTATTTTTATCTTTCCAAGTGCCTTTTCAAAGCACAGTGGGCTGGCACAGGTTTAAATATTAACTTTTGCTACTACGCAGCTGTATATTCTGTACTTGGTACTTACACCTTGCTGGAAGTGTATGGAGGGAAAAGTGCTAGAAGGAATATTTACAATGTATTGAAAGAAAGGTTTATACAATGTTTTAATATCAAAGTGTGTATAGCATAATGCAGATAACACCAGTAAGAAAAAAACAGCAAAATTAAAAAAAAAAGATAGGAGGAGGATAACATAAACAGGTTTAAATATGACACAAATAACACTTCTGGAAAATAACATTGAGTCATTTATCCTTTCATGCGGTGAACAGGAAAATTCCAGCTCATTTCTTATGACTCATACCCCTTCCCCCAAGCTGTGTTAAGAATCCGTCCTTTCTCTTCAGGTTCAATTTTGTTGTTTTATTTCTATATATACATGTTAATTAGTTTATTAAGTGTGATGTTATTAACTTTAAGTTGATGATAGAGAAAGAGAGAGCTGTCCTAATGGCGACAGTGACATTTTTCCAAATTTATTAATGAAATCCTAAAGGCGAGCTTTACCGCAGTATACTTCATAAATAGACGTTGTTACTCTATGAAAATTATCTATTTGATGAAATAAAGGTACAAAGATTTTAAACAGGAAATCTGGTCAATTGATAGAGTTTTGCATGTCTGCTGAATTTAAGGTTTGGAAGTATACAAATGCACAAATAGTGTGTATGACGGAGTTCCAAGAGGACAAACCAGAAATGTTGGTGTGCTTGGGCCGGTGAAATGTAGAAATATGAATAGACGGATGTAAACAAAGTATTTTAAAAATTTACTATTATTTAGCAGAAGAACCATTATAGCAGAAAACTTGAACTGAATTCATTTGTTTACTACCCGCTCGCTAGAAAAACATAAATATCTGAAAGACTATCCCGCATCCTACATCTTTTTTTACTACAGCTAGTTTAAACAACAGCCCGTGGTTTCTGTATTTGTTCTCCTACCTTTTATTTATAGCAACCGAGTAAATCAATATTAACATCTTTCAATAAAATATAAAGAAAGCCATCAAATGTTAAGTGAAGAAAAGCTTCTTTTGTGATTTGTCGATATTGATTTACACAATACCTGCTGTGCAATTTGTATTTAACTGCTAACTCAACTATGTTTGCCATTATTCGATAGGACTGAACATCAAGCGTAAAGGGTAACATACAAATGAGTTCTTTGGGATTTGTTTGTTATTTGTCGATATTGACATACACAATACCTGCTTAATTAGCGAATTTCTATAAAACTGCAAACTGTTTTATTTGCCATTATTCATTAGAACTGAATATGAAACGAAAAGACAAGCACGCAATGTTAGCTCTTTAGAATCTTTTGTTATTGGCAACGATCGACATCCACAATTCAGCTGAAGTGAAAGATATTATGTGTCATTTTCACAACAATGAAACATATGAATAAAGTTTCACATGAATTGATATATGGACGGATATATGGTTGTATCGAGGCTAGTCCTTTCAGTTGTATAATGTATATTTTCAGGATTCTTGTTTTTCACTAAGATGGCAAAACAGGCAGAACACAGGAGCTCGCACATGAGCTATCTCACTACAAGTTTTAATCACGCAAGTTCGCCAAAGCACATTGCTTTGCTGAACTATTACGAAAAGCGAATAACCGGACTGCAGAAAAGATATCAGGAAGTCAAAGAAAATATAAAGAGGGTTGAAGGATCACTGCAGGTTGATTTAAGCACAAACGAAAACCCGTTTGAATGTAACCCAAAAGCCACGAGAGTTATCTTCTGTGGGTTAGACCACCATCTCAGTAGTCTCAAGTCTCAGTTCAATACAGAAAGAATAGATGACAGAGCACCAAAGCATCATTTGGCTGATCAAAACACTCTGTGGGTTTTCTTTTTACCTGGCAAAAATGATATTCAGGTAAGTGCAGTCAAATTTCATAAATGTGTTATCAAGTTGAAATAGGCACAAACTGCCATTGAGATCTGAAACTTATTTAAAGTAATTGTTTATAACTCAATTTCTTTTTCGGATAAAGTTAAAGGTAAAGGTCATTGTTTGGACAAATCTTTCGTCGGATGTTGAGTAACCATCAGTTTTTTCTTGAAATAACAAAAAAAGCACATGGAGCATTAAATAAAGAAAAAATATATTTGTTTCGATTGCCTATTAGAATATTGTGCATTGTGGAGTTACAGGGTTACCACTTAATATGGAATATTATTTTTTGGCGAGTAAATTTTCTACAAAATATTTATTTTCTCTCTAACTACTTTACATCCAAATCTGAGGTGTCACTCCCTGAGTAGGCAGGTGTGTTACCTAATTACCACACAACTTTCGAAACAATTGATGCATGCAGTTGCATTTTCTGTGGTCAGAAATGTGAGGGGTGGTCTTTTCGGCAATTTCTGCCCTTGTATAAAAACGCATGGGTTTGGTCAATCTTTGGAGTGCGTTTAGAGAAGCAACAAAGGGATCGCTCTGAAACTTCACAGGTACCTTATTGAAGATATGGTTCGACAGCTAAGCAAAGCAGCTTACTATGGGACTCTTGCTCTCAGAGAAAATGTCCAGAAACGGACAGCCATTGCCAGGTAATTCAATATTTATCAAGAACCGTTTGTAAAGTCCTCCAAAGAAATGCTGCAACAGGGGCACCTACTCCAATACCTCGATCAGGGTGTCCGCGTATCACACCAAGAAGACAGGATCGCCTTCTCCTTAGAGGACGCCGTGCTTGTCGTACAAATGNGCATAATAGTTTTTGTCTTTCTTGTTTTTCCCTTCCATGATTTAGATAATAGGCAGTTTTGGTCTTTGAAAATAATTAATAGCAGTTAAAATATGTTCAAGAGTCTTCTAGATTTGTTTCTATATTGTTTGAATATTCCTGAACTATCATATATTCTATCTGAGTTTACCTATAGTCACTTGCTCCAGTGTCCATCTGAGACCCTCCACTGAATTTGAAGTGAAATCATCCTCCTCTGTGACCTCTCCACCTTCTACTTGAAATATCCAATATTAAAGTCCTCATTTACTCCTTATTTGTGTTCCCATTGAATTTTTTCCATATTCATGCACAATTTCTGACTGGATTTGTCTTTGTTAAGAGCTTAGGAGCTAATATAAAACAATACAACTTTAGCTACACTACTTTATAACTAGAAACCGGCCATCGGTGATTGAGGAAGCTTTGTGTATGAATTGCCCTCTTTAGGCGCTAGCACGGTTGTCAGGGTGTACGTATGGGATTATGTAAGACTCTTGTCTGTGTTCTAAGACTGCAGTTTATATGAACATTTTGTTTGCAATGAAGTAAACACAGAACAATAACTCAGCTGCAGTCAGTTAAGGGCTATCACTTGCAAGGGCCCAGGTGCCCACGATCAGATATCTAGAGGTGTGATTTCCTGGGTATTGTTCGCCCCAGGGTTAGGAAGTCCTTTGTTTTACTAACACAGGTGTACTTGATTTAGTTTAGTTGATTGGGTATTCAATGTATGTATGTGAAGCTAAAATAAATCCCTATCTTAGCAAATTAAAGTGGTTGTTGTGTTTTTACAATGGGGTAAACATTATATGAAAGTTTGAATCATGGGTCCTGATATACGACAAAGGATACTGAATTTCCAGGATGAGGCCATTTACATTGTTTTTGGAAGATTATTAATACTAAGATATACGGCAAGATGTCATGCTTGGCTGTAAGATTATCGATACCCAAAATAATTATTAAATTGCCCTTTATTATAAACTGTGTCCTTCTTTATCAACCTCTGATCTTAAAACCGTTATGAGTTCAAAAGCGTGTCTGAGCTAGTTTGCATTTTGAGACCCAAAGGTTTTGTTTTTCTTGTTGTGGGTGAATGATTAAAGTAATATTAAATGTCTACACTTAGCCAGTAACTCGTAAATCCAACGTATATGTTCATCATTATAGCTCGAACTTAACTTATGAGAACTACTACTAGGCAGCTGTCAGCCTTTATCACTATCATAACAGGTGGCCAGGATGATACTGCTTGGGTGAGGGCATAATTACCCTTGGCAGTAAGGCCAGGGATCGTAAGCCTCTGTGAACTGTTTAATAAATAATAATAATAATAATAATAATAATAATAATAATTTATTGAGCACATGAAATGAGTGTACATTTATAGGCTCTCTACACTTCTAATTATAATATACTTAAGTCTAAATACATGTACATAGTAATAATAAAGGGGCCAGACTCGTTTAATAGGGGCCAGACTCGTTTAATAGGCCACAGAAGGAACGTTAAGCTTGGGTGTAATTTTAATTAAAATCAGAGAACAGGAAACTCTTCTTGGAGATTTGTGAAATGAAATTGGGGCAGGAACACAGGGTGGCTTAACTAGGGTGGGAAAGTTTTACAATATCCACTGAAAGCTGAAAGAGAAACCCCAGAAAATGAATAGGGCTTATAGAATATTAAAAAAATCTAAAAGCGATATGCTTCAATAAGTATTTTTGTTTCACTAAATCTTCCGTGACTGTACTATTCTTGCAATATCCATGTAACATGATCTTGTTTAGTAGAAGGAAAAAGCTAATAACTATGTGTACTTATCAGTTGTAGTGCCCTAAGCATAAGTGAACCCCAAAATTCAAGATGTGTGAAGGGTTGGGGTTGATAAGACAATCGTGATCAGAAGACTTATAAACGGAGTCGTAAATGTGCAACTCAAAGATAATTAATAAATAGTAGGTATAAACGGTAACTTCAGTGATAACTAAAAAATTGAATAGGTGATACGCAAGGAGCCTTATAGTGCAGTCGCCGTGACCATTATTAGAGCAAACCAGAAAGTCACGAACAAATGGATTATGTCAACGGCATCTGATAAATCAGTAGAGAAAATAACTTACCGCCTTCATGTAGCCTAATAGTCGGCAGATGTACTACGTACAGTGTACATGTACAGCTACTCCCTGCTTGAACTTGTACATAATCTTTCGCTGATATAATATGCTGTAAACGTGTTGTAACGGTTCGAAATATCGATGAACTGCTGGAAAGGTCTCATCGAAGGAAAAGCCGATGAAATTTTTTGAACTGAAGGTTTAAGTTGAAAGTCGGAGATAACTTGTAGCTTCAACGTATCGTGCGCGACAACAGAATGAGCGCAAAATGGGTCAGGCAGTGACGTCCCCTGGTATAAGTAGCAACATGTGCCTCAATTGGGACCACCCCTCTAGGTAGAATTGCGCATGTGCAGAATGCGCATGTGCGTAAATAAGCTCTGGAGATTGTTGTCGCCATAAAATATCGTTTGACTACGCCAAACTTTCCTTTCTTTAAATATTTATGAAATATAGATATACGATTGTATCAATACTAGCTCCCAATGTGTATGTTTTTATAATTATTTTCTACATTTTGGTTTTATACTAAGATGGCAGAACACAGGAGATCGCACCTGAGTTATCTCACTACAAGTTTTAATCACACAAATTCGCCAAAGAACATTGCTTTGCTGAACTATTACGATAAGCGACTAAGCAGACTACAGAAAAGATATCAGGAAGTCAAAGAAAATGTAGAAAGGGTTGAAAAATCACTGGAGATCGATATAAACACGAGCGAGAGCCCATTTGAACGTAACCCAAAAGCCACGAGGATTATCTTCTGTGGGTTAAACCACCATCTCAGTAGTCTGAAGTTGCAGTTCCAAACAGAAAGAATAGATGACAGAGCACCAAAGCATTATTCGGCTGATCAAAACACTCTATGGGTTTTCTTTTTACCTGGCAAAAATGATATTCAGGTAAGTGCAGTCAAGTTTCATAAATGTGTTATCAAGTTGAAATAGGCACATACTGCCATTGAGATCTGAAACTTATTTAAAGTAATTGTTTATAACTCAATTTCTTTTTCGGATAAAGTTAAAGGTAAAGGTCGTTGTTTGGACAAATCTTTCGTCGGATGTTGAGTAACCATCAGTTTTTTCTTGAAATAACAAAAAAATGCACATGGAGCATTAAATAAAGAAAAAATATATTTGTTTCGATTGCCTATTAGAATATTGTGCATTGTGGGGTTAATGTCATCTCAGACCTCGGCATAATTGCAAAAATAAGAAAGTCCGCAATTTCAGTTATCGAATAGAATAACTTTCCTATTTTATACGAATGCTAAGGGCAATGTGACAATTCAGGTGGTTTAATTTCTTCTGATACTTAATTTTTTTACTAAATTATTGTTTTTTCTGCATTAGCTGGCTTTCTTATATGGTTTTCCAGGGTATAACAGGGTTTTAGAGGTCAATACATTGGTCTTTGGTAAAACATATTATAGAGCCGTGTTGAGCCATTATTAAACATTCACCATTATGTATTAATATAAATTTATATAACGACACATGAAGCTGGAATTTGTTTTTATCAGATAGGAGCATTTTTGCTTTATTATTTTCATGATGTCATTGCATTCTAGGAAGTCGCCGATCAGCTGCAAAGTGCTTTCGTGAAGAAGCAAAAAGTTTTATTTATTAAACCCCTGTCAACGACAGGATTCGCGGAAGAGCTTTGGGACAGCGTACCAGAATTCCAAGAGAGATTTGGTGGAGATTTTCAAAAGTGGAAAGAGTTTATGCTGAGCCACACAGTCAAGCCTGAATTTACTTCTATATTACATCAGTTCATTGTCGACGTACTGAACCAATGCTGTTTGCAAAAGCCACGTATGAAGCTCAGCAGCGAAATCAACGCCATGGCTCCTCAGATCCAGAGTCAAGAGAGCAGAATGAGGGAAGAACCCCTTTGCATGGAAGAAAATGTTGCCCGGGACATCTTTTGCTACGCTGATGAAATAAAACAGTTTGTTCAACAATGGGCTATTGAAGACGCCGAAGACAATCAAAATAATAAATCAGCGGAACCATTCAAAAACAGGACGTCGGCAATTTTTTTCATTCTTCGCAAAATATCGATGAGACTTGTATCTAACTTTGCGCAACGTTATGGCCAAACTAATATGGCCGTTTTGAATGAAAAAATCATGAAGGCATTTGAGTCGAAAGTACCATACCATTTCTTTTCTGGTATTGTTCCGACAACTGAAAACACTACAAATGGATTCTTTCAGAAAATTATTTCTTTGATTTACGGCGAAAGGAGCATCTCTGTTGACGATTTTAGTGAGCAACTTACTGAATCAATAAAGGAAAACGCACACGCTATTGCTGTTGAAGTATGTAAAGTTTTTGCACTGAAAGAAAAGATTTCGGCTGCAGAAAGCCTCAACACTGAATTACTGTTTATCGAACTCGAAGTCAATGGTCTATTGCGGTCAATAACGGGAAGAGATGGACAGAGCAAGGGTCATCGAAAACCCTTGGAATCTTCAGTTGAGAAAGAACTATTAAGGTTTGTTTGAAAACACTCCTAATAACCAGAAACATTGGAATAATGAAATAAAATAACATAAAGACACATCGGACTACAGAAATAAAGAAAGCCTGTATTGAAAATTATAAGAACCATTTGTTGCCCATTTAATTTAATAGGTTAAATATTATTCCAAGAATAAGGTGCCAATTATTCTGTCTAAATATTTTTAATGTATAATAATAATAATAATAATAATAATTTATTACTTTGGACCTTTATGGTCTACCAGTCTTGTACAGAAATTACATTACATAGATCAGCCAATGTATAGTAACTGTAGTTCTAACCTCTTTTCCAGTTTGAGCTATGTAAAGGCCTTTGGGTTTCTCTTTGGGGTATTCCACGTTCATGTATCGGATGAAGGTATGAAGACACATGAGCAGCAGAAGCTGGAATTCCAAGGACTGGAAAATACCCTAACCAAGCACTTTGGCAAAGATGGCTTTCGCATAGTTCAACAGTCTGCACAGTTTGAATTAACTCCTTTTAATATCAGACCAGGTAGTCAGTTATGTCAAAATACCCCCGAACAATATGGTTCTCTTGGAGCTTTTGCCTATGACAGTGTGGACGATAAGGTGTACGGATTAACAGGTGCACATGTTGTTCTTAGAAATGTAGTCGTAAAAGTTGTGTGCCCCGATGAACATCTCTTAGATCTTGGAACTTGCAAGGAAAAGATAAGTTTTACGGGTAGTAGCGTTGATCAGGGAGATGAAGCAGTTGATCTCATTGACATTGCAGCGGTGGAAATTAACAGTAACGCGAAGGACAATTGTGTCTGGTGCTATGACTATACCCATGGCCGAGGGTGCGACTTTCGACCATACATTTACAGCGGACGCCTAGACGATTTGACTGGATTCGTAGTTGAGAAATGTGGGGCGTCGGATCGGGATGGGTTGAAGCAGGGTATAATTGTTGGGATGGATTACTGTTTCAAGTATACATTATTTGGCAACGTGAAAAATGTTATTCTCATCAGTGGACTGACACCGGGTGAAGAATTTTCGGTTCCCGGAGATAGCGGCTCGGTTATCTGGTGGGAGGAGATCTTACGCGAAGTTGATGCAGTCGTTACTGACACTACTCACCAGGTGTGCGCGCTTGCAATGGTCTATGGTGGTACTAACATTCCACCTGTAGAAACCATTGTATCACCTTATGCCCACAAAGTTTTTGAGGGTATGACATCGGGACTACCTCTTACTGTCGCATTTGGACTTAAAGAAGCACTACCAAAGCTCTACGATAAACTGCCCAATAGTAGGTCCATAACCCTGATACGACCATCTTATAGAAGACCTTGCTATTTCCTTTACCTTTTGCCAATGGCTCTGCTGGGCGGAGCGTTAGCAACTGGAGTGTTTCTGTTTTGTTTACGGAGAAGACATTAATTTTAGTTATTAGTAAATGATGGGACAATCGGATATTGGGGGAAATCATTGCTAAGAACTTTTTCAAAGCGGTGATATCCTCAAGTTTCAGTCCATTAAAGTTGATTTTTCAAAAACATCCATATACATCTTCAAAGTGAAAAGATCACACAGAAGAAAAGTTCGACCGTCGTTTACCATACTAGTACAATGTGTGTAAATAATGATCTTGTGTTAGTACTCATAATCGGGTTGAAGTAGTGCCTTAGGTGTGACGTGGTACTTTATCAGCACATTTTGCCTAACATAATATCCCATAATATTGAGGTCGGTGTTTTATTCAAAAATTATTTATATCTTTTGAAGCTTAGACATTCGTAATTTTGCCCATGTTTGAGGTGAGGTGTACATATTTTGGAAGAGTACTTCAATTCCAGCCATGAAGATTTCACTAATCCATCTCCTGTGTGGTATTTGATAAAACTGTTTGAGCATTTTACAAGATTTTTGTACTGATAGGATTGAGTCCACGGCATATGGATCGCTGTACTTTCCTTACAGAGATGTTTTGCCTTGTCTCTTCACTTCCTGTCTCGTAGCCTGTACACCAGTTTATTAGGATGCACAGTGTAGTGATTTTCCCGGCATCTACTGATATTTATGTCATGTGGTTTACATGTGTTTAGCATGGTGACGCCGATACTTTTACTTAAATTTTGGGTATTAGGCCACATAGCCTTGTTGATAACTAAGCACCTTACCTATTAGAGGTACAGCATACGAGAAAAATCACACGGTGTTAGGGCCCAGAAGCATTAATGCTTAATGATTAATAAATGATTAATTAATCAAATATTTAGAAAATTATGCAAATGCTCTCTATTGTGCACTACTAGGCCGTTGAAAGTTTTCGTTCAAATTCGTTCAAAAGGCCTGTCTGCTTACGAGCCATTGAAAAAAAAATAAGTAAGGCAAATTAGTGCGTGATTCTAAAAATGTCCCAAAGGCGATCATTTAACGGAGCACCTATAAAGTTGCGTGTGAAATTATTGAACTATATTGTAAATGCGCCATGCTTGTTAATTATGATTACTGTGTTTTGCTTGGTGTTAACGTTTAAACATGTAGATAAGAGTGTTACGCGCATGAGTTTGACGCCAGTGCCATTCAACCCCCCCCCCCCAATAACGATATCTTTATATAATGGTAACCACGAAGATGGCAAGCCTCCTTTCTTTAACAAAGGAATGGTCATTGTCATATCCACATCCCAGAAAAAAATTGAAATATAATGCACATGTTCAACTTTGCCACACCCTTTTGTACAAATTCTACTTTTTCGAGCTACTTTAAAAATAATAGTTACGTCTAGGCTAAGTCGTCATATTTTAACTGCAATAAAACATAGCTTACATTAATTTCAATAAGCACTCCAATTAACATGTACTAATATCTCATTCATTATACTGTAACATAAATAATGCAGTTTAGTTAAGCATGTTACTCTATATTTTATTTGCGTTAAATCGAATTCAGCAATTAAATTGTCGAATGTTATGTTGAACCCCATTTGTAAAGCTGCTAACACGCTTCAATTTTCAAAAAAAAAATCCAGTTTTATTTTTCACTGTCATTGTTACAACTTGCGGAATAAGAAACATCAAGTCGACTTACTCCTTGACGTTGCAGAAAAAATTCATATATGATGGGGGGATTATATTTCAAAATCAGTTTGTAATAATAAAAATGAATAAATAGATAATCAGTAAAAAATTGTTTGTTCTTTATATAGGCATTTTAACTTCATCACAGATAAAGGCATTCATAAACTCTATATAATTTAATGTTTATCTGTCACACGATCGATATATACCCAAACAACTCGAGCGAGAGGGTGGCAGTGTGTTACTTGACACGTACAAGCCGAAAGAAAGTACTTGCATTTCACCAAGAAACACGCCGTGCTAAGTATACAGCCTAGGCATACTCGCTGATACAGATCACTTTTGGTCGGTTAATTATTAACGTCTCGACAGACAATCGTGTAATCATCAATGCACCAGACAATGTTCACACTGTGGAGTAATGCTCATAAGATAACGCTCACAAGGTCATGGGTATCATCTGCATCAAGCACGTTCTCACTACCCACGTCCATCTTTTACAGTGCCAGACATGGCGCACGTGAACAGCTTCTTTGCGCTTTTAGCACTGGCATGTGCTATACCTGCGGTTTCTGAAAGCAGAAATGGCTGTCGAATTATTTCAAAGGACAACCTTTTATGTGCCTCACCAGTGACAAGCACAGACATTCTGACTTTCGTCCCGAGAGCTACGTCCTCATTAACGGTGGAGAGACACGTGGGGGAAGGATTGGAGTTGACGTTTGTGTTTCGACACTTCCCGCGTCTGGAGAACGCTAGCGTAACGTGTGAGCAGAAATGTCGTCTGGTAACCAACTTCAACGAGCATTACAACGAGCCGCAACATTTGAACAGACTGATCCTTCAGAACGTTGTTTTCTCCGCATATACCCTAGACAGTTTCCCAGGGCTAAATACTCTAAAGCTACTTCACAGCAATTTACAGCTCTCTCGAGAAAGCTTTCGAAAGTTATCCAAGCTATCTGGCGTGGAAATATCTAATAACAAACCTGTTGAATTACCAGACCATGTATTTTCCTCTCAGGGGATGTCTTTAAAAAGACTTATTATTAGAGATAACGCTGTTCTGAGAGTAACACACAATGCTTTCAATAATTTAAAAGAGATGCGCAAGTTAATTCTGAAATCAAATAACGTTACTTTCTTGTCCAAACACAGAGTGGAAGATCAAATTCCACACAAGTTGTTCCGAGATTTAGTTCAACTGGAATATTTAGACTTGAGCGACAGCAAGCTTACCGCCCTACCAAAAGGGATATTTGCCAACTCAAAATTACTGTCACATTTAGACCTGAGTAGAAACGAACTGCATTCACTTCCATCAGAAATCTTCAAGAAAAACTGGCGACTACGTACATTGCTGATTGGAGGTAATAGATTTCGGTCTCTGAACTTTCTGAACTCTTTAACTCGATTGAGAACCTTAGACGTAAGTCACGCGCGAATTAGAAACACAGATCTATCAATTTTGTCACGCTGCACGACTTTAAGAAAACTAACAATGCGAGGCATTCCATCTGTAAGGTTCAGTGTTAGGGAAATACAGCAACTACCAAAATATTTAGGTCATCTTGACCTTGGAGACACCAATGCCATCTCGTTGACTTCAGAGACATTTCATGGGTTCTTAAATCTGACTGTCCTCGTTATGGATAACGTTGGGTTAAAACATATGAGCTTTGTCCCATTCAGTGCGCTTCAGCGTCTCCGTTATCTGGACGTCTCTCGTAATGGTTTACACAAGATAACTGAAGACTTTGCACTATTTAAAGGTGTCTTGGATCTTCGCGATAACCCATTGCATTGTAACTGCCTCTTGCAATGGATGCTGCAAATTGAGACAAACAGAACTTTGTCCAAACCAGATATACAGGGGGCGACGTGTTTCACTCCAGCCAAGTTAAGAGGCCGAGAGCCGTCTTCTATATCTCAGTCTGATATGCGATGCTATCCGCCAGAAGTTACGCTAAGCATTGGCCAGTTA